AACACCTATTAGGCACTATAGCTTCGGAAAATTAAAAATTTTCCACACAAGGTATTTAAGAGTAAGGAACTACTCTAAGATAGTAAATGTGATATTAAAACAGGTTATGGTAATTAAACAAGTAATGGTAATTAAAATAATGCCAAAAATGTTGAGAGTAAATTGTACTGATAGTAAAAAATGGTATTTGATAATAAATTTGGTAAGTAAAAAAGGTATTTGATAATAAATTTGGTAAGTAATAGCAATTAATAGTATTTAAAGAAATATGAGGTTGTAATATGGACAGAGAAAATATTAATTAAGTAAATATTTAAGCAAACAATAGTAATTAAGAAAATTATATAACATAAGGCGACTTATGCTTACTAGTAAAATCACATTACTGAGGTAGTTGATTTTTTATTACTAAGAGATTGTACTGTGAAATTTGTACAATAATGGAGCAAAACATACACTACACATAGGCTTTTAGGGGCCAGTAGGGCAATTAATTGTAGCTCTTTTGTTTACCGTCCGATTTCCTCCAGTTTTGGTGCACAAGACAAAGTGTTTCCACACCGTGTAAAAAATATTTGTCAAAAATATACCTCAAACAACAACTGAGAAAAGACTGAAAAAGGACTGATTTACAGAAAATGCCCTTTGGCAGGAAGGTAGTCCTACATGGGACGACATAAGGTTGTTTGGACACTTGATGCCGAGAGAACAATGCTAATACTAATTTTCCGCAAGGCCTTTCCTCTAAATAACTTACCTTTATTTCACAAAAAAATAAAGTTTGTTAGTTTTTGCAATGTTGAAAAAATCTGCCCTTTACTCCCACATAAATCCCAAAGAATTTGGAATATTTCCAAAATTCCCTCTGAATTAATTAGAGAAATCATTATTTTACCATTTCTGTGAATATTATTCCACTTAATTAAGTAATAAAGGTGTACCTTAGCGAAGTAAGTGAATAAGTTATTTCCGAGATATTGGCTTGGAGCGCCGGCCGGCCCACCGTCTCGAATTTTTTTTTTTTTTCGCGAAAATCGCGTTGGTTTCGGTGTATTTCTTAGTAAACTGATGTTCTAGTGCAGTTATCCTCTTCAACGCACCGTTTCTCTTACTCAATGACCAAAGAATACGACATGGAGAGCAGTAACTTATTTATATCGAAATATTCCCGATGGTCTATGGGCCACATTATGGCTTATTTTATTCAGTCTAGAGTATATAACATGTTTGTATGTTACTTATAGTGTTTATTATATCAGATAAATTCTGATAGATAGATAAGCCGTAGAGTTGATATATAAGCTGATATAAGCGTAATATTGAAGAGATTTCTCATGGCTCTCTGGATCGGGAATACTGCCGAGTGTTGCCAGATGGTGCCTGATTACCTGGCACTCTACAGATAAGCTCCGCCTACTCTTATATGATGCCAAATAGTCAATTATAATAGAAAGAATAATGCAAGAAAAAGCGATAAAAAGCAAGGAAAAACTTCCAAAAAACATATGGGCTGTGAGCAGACGCACTACCCATATCACCGTCACCTTACCTGATATAAATGACTATAATTTCTTGTAGAAACGTCGTAGAACATTCATTCTGGTACCATTGTGTTGCCAAAGAGTTAAGCTATTTTTCTGTATGACTCAATTGCCATAATTTTTCGATTTTTTGTTGAGCGCGCGCGGAAAATTGCCCTACTGGCCCCTTTAGGTTGGACATTGTTTAGTTATTCTCTGTAAGATTAATATCCCTGAGAAATCGTGATAGATCATTCTCGTGAGAGAATCCTCTCTAGAAGGTAAGAGCAACGTGGAAGAACCTCAGCCTGTGAGAGATAGGGATACCAAGAACGTGGGAGAACCTCAGCATGTGACAGGGATACCAAGAACGTGGGAGAACCTCAGCATGTGAGAGATAGGGATACCAAGAACGTGAGAGAACCTCAGCATGTGACAGGGATACCAAGAACGTGGGAGAACCTCAGCATGTGAGTGATAGGGATACCAAGAACGTGGGGGAACCTCAGCATGTGAGAGATAGGGATACCAAGAACGTGGGAGAACCTCAGCATGTGAGAGATAGGGATACCAAGAACGTGGGAGAGCCTCAGCATGTGAGTGACAGGGATACCAAGAACGTGGGAGAACCTCAGCATGTGAGAGATAGGGATACCAAGAACGTGGGAGAGCCTCAGCATGTGAGTGACAGGGATACCAAGAACGTGGGAGAACCTCAGCCTGTGAGTGATAGAGATACCAAGAACGTGGGAGAACCTCAGCATGTGAGTGATAGGGATACCAAGAACGTGGGAGAACCTCAGCATGTGAGTGATAGGGATACCAATAACGTGGGAGAACCTCAGCATGTGAGAGATAGGGATACCAAGAACGTGGGAGAGCCTCAGCATGTGAGTGACAGGGATACCAAGAACGTGGGAGAACCTCAGCATATGAGAGATAGGGATACCAAGAACGTGGGAGAGCCTCAGTGTGTGAAAGGGATACCAAGAACGTGGGAGAACCTCAGCATGTGAGAGACAGGGATACCAAGAACGTGGGAATACCTCAGCATGTGAGTGAAAGGGATACCAAGAACGTGGGAGAACCTCAGCATGTGAGAGATGGGGATACCAAGAACGATACCCGAGTCGTCTACTGTAATTCTATTTTAATAATAATAATATCTTTATTTACTACAAGTACATGTACAAGGTATACAGTCCTAGCTGACATCACTGACAAGTACATGTACAAGGTATACAGTCCTAGCTGACATCACTGACAAGTACATGTACAAGGTATACAGTCCTAGCTGACATCACTGACATACTACTATATAGAAAGCCCCTTGTTTTGCTGAGCATTTCGGGCAAATTAGGTCAGTGTCCCAGGATGCGACCCACACCAGTCGACTAACACCCAGGTACCCATTTTATTGATGGGGAACATAGACAACAGGTGGAAAGAAACATGCCCAATGTTTCTACTCTGACTGGGAATCGAACCCAGGCCCTCGCCGTGTGAAGCGAGAGCTTTAACCACCAGAGGCAGACTTATCATCATTGGGGAACATCAGCATAATTGTCACAATCTGGAATCAGCTACTGTAGCTACTATCGATGGTTTTGATAGTAGCTACTATCAAAATCATTGCTCAGAACGGTGGTAGTTTCATCATCTCGGAAGTTCTGGTTAAATCAATTTTTGTGCAAGAATGGTATATAATACCGACAAGATGAAATTAAGACACATGCGCAACATCTGGGTATCTTTATTGTAGACTGGATGGCGAAACGTCTACAATAAAGATACCCAGATGTTGCGCATTGTGTCTTAATTTCAAATCAATTTTTCCCTCCAGAAACACTGTGATCAGATGAATAGGAAGTCCTGGTCCACTCCACCTTACCTGACCTTCTCTGTTTCTTCTATGATAACCCCATTTTTCATCTGTTTCATTGATAAAGATCACCGTTGTGAAAACATCTGTACCGCAACCTGACATTGATGCCTGGAGTATACCTGGAGAGAGTTTCGGGGGTCAACGCCCCCGCGGCCCGGTCTGTGACCAGGCCTCAGGTGGATCAGGGCCTGATCAACCAGGCTGTTACTCTTGGCCGCACGCAACCCGACGTATGAACCACAGCCCGGCTGATCAGGTACTGACTTTAGGTGCCTGTCCAGTGCCTGATTGAAGACAGTCAAAAGTCTATTGATAATTCTCCTTGTGCATACCACTCTCCACAACCTTGTTAATTCACACACACACACACACACACCCCACACACACACACCCCACACGCAAAACGCACACGCACACGCACACACACACACACACACACCTGGTGCTTGTAACTTACATACCATCATTTACTCTGAGATTAATAACATGTAGTGAGATGTGTATCATCCCTTCTAAAATGAGTAACATATTTAATGTGAAAAGTTTTCTCATGAGATTGTCTTTATTTCTGTCTAATTCCTTCTGGTAATCCACTGTAGTAAAATAATGGCCGTACACTTCGTAATGTTTTATTATCTATGTCTATAATAATGTTTGTAAATAAATATATTTGATAATGAAAATAATATTATACCTGAAAATCTATCAGATGTAACTTATAATATTTGATGTTGTTGACCTCATATCTGACCTATAATGTTGAAGTTCTCAGAGTTTCTCCAGAAACAGAGTGGCTGGCAACATGGGCTGGCAACATGGGCTGGCAACATGGGCTGGCAACATGGGCTGGCAACATGGGCTGGCAACATGGGCTGGCAACATGGGCTGGCAACATGGGCTGGCAACAAGGGCTGGCAACATGGGATGGGCTGGCAACAAGAGCTGGCAACATGGGCTGGCAACAAGGGCTGGCAATATGGGCTGGCAACAAGGGCTGGCAACATGGTCTGGCAACAAGGGCTGGCAACAAGGGCTGGCAACAAAAACTGGCAACGAGGGGTGGCAACAAGGGTTGGAAACAAAAGGTGGCAACAAAGGGTGACAACAAAGGCTGGCAACAAGGATTGGAAACAAAAGTTGGCAACAAAAGCTGGTAACAAAAGCTGGCAACGAAGGCTGGCAACAAGAGCTAGAAACAAAAGCTGCCAATAAAAGTTGGCAAGAAAGCCTGGCAATAGGGGCTGACAACAAAACCTGGCAACAAAGGCTGGCAACAAGGGCTAGCAACAAAAGTTGGCAACAAAGGCTGACAATAAGGGCTGGCAGCAAAAGCTGGCAACAAAGGCTGGCAGCAAGGGCTGGGAACAAGGGCTGGCAACAAGAGCTGGCAACAAGGGCTGGCAACAGTCACCTTCATGTGGTTTCCTTCCCCTGGTAACAGCTGTTGGGATGGTAGTGTAGAGTAAGGGGGGGGGAAGCTTGAAGGGGGTGTTCTTAAAGCTGATTTGCCTTTCTGAATGCACTGTTTGTGTGATGACGTCACAGGTAGGGTATAAAGAGTCAAGTAGTGAGTAGAGAATCAGGTGCGGCACCAGCAGTGGCCCTCAGCACCCATCCAGCACAACACCACCCTTCCCAATTTCTTTGCCTCTTCCCCACTGTGACTGTCCTCCTTCCCACTGCGACTGTCCTCTTTCCATCTGTGACTGTCCTCCTCCCCCATCTGTGACTGTCCTCCTCGCCTATCTGTGACTGTCCTCCTTCCCACTGTGACTGTCCTCCTCATCTTTGACTGTCCTCCTCGCCTATCTGTGACTGTCCTCCTTCCCACTGTGACTGTCCTCCTCATCTTTGACTGTCCTCCTCCTCTATCTGTGACTGTCCTTCTCCCCATCTGTGACTGTCCTCCTCTTCCACTCTTACCTAAAGTCACTATTCTGCTGCTGGCTGGTTCCCCACCTCATTCAAACAGTCTTATCAGATTGATTCAACTTCTAGTTTGTCTGGACGCCAAGTAATTATCCATTACTCTCGTGGTCTCCGTCACAGCTTTACCTTCTATCAAAGTATAACACTCAACGATGCTGTTCCAAACATTACTCAACCTGGTAGGTAACTAGACATTTTTTATTATGCATTAGGCTTAGTGTTAATAACGCTGTTACCTTCAGTAACTTCAAAGTAATTATTTAAAAAGAAGCCATTATTATGTCTACAAATAAATCTACTTTTTCTAATTGTATGATGTTTTGATCTTGACTTTTAAAATTCCATTCGTATTAAATTATTTACTGTCTAAAAGCAATAGCGATGGAGAACAGTATCGTCGGTCCCAACACAAATATTCAATTAAAAAAGGCTGAGTGGAATAACGCCAACAAAATTATCATAAAATTATCAAATAGTGAACTGCACAACCAAATGAAATCCGAGGTTATGTTCAGCTTAAAAACTTACTCATTCTAAGACTGAGATCTATTAGTGCGTCTCTCCCTCACCTCTTCCCTTAATTTATCAAGAAACCTGGCTCTTCTCTCTCTCTCTCTCTCTCTCTCCTCTCATCTCTCTCTCTCTCTCTCTTCCTCTCTCTCATTTAATCAAGGGTTTTACAGGGTTTGGTTAAGTGTTCCTGCCTCTATTTACATGCTAAGAGGTGTTATCTACCTCAGTTCATTTGAAAGCCTTTTCGTTATTAAAGACATACAGATTGGGAATAGGATGAAGTTGGAACCCGAAACCTCCCCAGGTATACTCCAGGTATCTGTGGGCCAGAGATTTCATCTGATCAACTGACTTTATTTTGTTGATGTTATACTGAAAGAACATGTTACAGACTTAAGTCATTCCAGGAATAAATGGTCTCAGATGAAGTGTTGTCCTGGAGAAGTGTACAATCCGAGTGTAGTTGCTCTTTGCCTGTCATGTGTAGAAGCTCATTTGTCTTTGTCTGCTGAGTGGAACCGATTGTGGTACCTTGACAATATTGGCCTTATACATAACAGTGAGTCCACCCACATCCTTCCTGTGTTGAAGGCTCTGCTGAAATGACAAATCTATCTAGGCTGGGTCCAGGCGAGAGATGAGTCGTCTTGCTCTGTTCTCTGTTCTGTCAAGAAGTCGCAGATGAGTCGGGAGCAGGGGAAAGGGCAGGCAATCCAAGAAAGTGAAGCATACTCAAGGTGTGATGATACTGTGCCTCGTACAGAATCTTGTGACCTGTACTGTTGAGCAGATGTTATAAGCTTCCTGAAAACTTTGTAAGCAAGATTTACGACGTGGTTCTTCATAGTCGTTTGGAATCAAATTTCACCCCAAGGATATCAACTTCATCTCCGAGTTCCAACACTTTCCCCTTCATAATTCATTCTTATCAAAGTCACGGTGCCTGGTGGCTAAACTTTTCACTTCACACGCTGAGGGTCCGGGTTCGATTCCCGGCAAGGGTAGAAACATTGGGCGTGTTTCCTTACACCGGTTGTCTCTGTTCACCCATCAGTAAAATGGGTACCTAGGTGTTAGTGGACTGGTGTGGGTCGCATCCTAGGACAAAACTGACCTAATTTGCCCGAAATGCTCAGCATAACACAAGCCTATCTGATGTTATCCTGACGCCAAATGACTTTGAACAGGCGATAAATGACATGCCCATGCACTCTGCCCCAGGGCCAGACTCATGGAACTTCGTGTTCATCAAGAACTGCAAGAAGCCCCTATCACGAGCTTTTACCATCCTAAGAAGAGGGAGCATGGACATGGGGGTCGTCCCACAGTTACTAAAAACAACAGATATAGCTCCACTCCACAAAGGGGGCAGTAAAGCAATAGCAAAGAACTACAGACCGATAGCATTAACATCCCATATCATAAAAATTTTGAAAGGGTCCTAAGAAGCAAGATCGCCACCCATCTAGATACCCATCAGTTACACAACCCAGGGCAACATGGGTTTAGAGCAGGTCACTCCTGTCTGTCTCAGCTACTGGATCACTACGACAAGGTCCTAGATGCACTAGAAGACAAAAAGAATGCAGATGTAATATATACAACAAACTATACAACAAACATTGTCCTATAAAAACGAAACAGATCACAAATAAACGGCTTGGTTGCCCATGGCTAACCAGCACCGTTCTGAAATCCATTGATAAGAAACACCAATATGAAAAGCAATATAGACAGGGCTTGATACACAAAGATATTCTTAAACACTATTCATCATGACTCAAGAAATCGTAATGACACGATTGCAAACAAACCATACCCCCGGCCGGGATTGAACCCGCGGCCATAGAGTCTCAAAACTCCAGCCCGTCGCGTTAGCCACTAGACCAGCTAGCCACAATAAGATTCATCCAACTAGGTATATTTCTACACCATAGGAAGGTTAGCACAGGCACCACTGTGACCACAAATGCAAGTTTTTACAGACGAATCTCCAGCTAGCGTGGCCGTGACGAACTCTAGCTCAAGTCCCTTCACTGCCGTCAACATGACTCAAGAAATCGTAATGACACGATTGCAAACAAACCATACCCCCGGCCGGGATTGAACCCGCGGTCATAGAGTCATAGAGTCATTACGATTTCTTGAGTCATGTTGACGGCAGTGAAGGGACTTGAGCTAGAGTTCGTCACGGCCACGCTAGCTGGAGATTCGTCTGTAAAAACTTGCATTTGTGGTCACAGTGGTGCCTGTGCTAACCTTCCTATGGTGTAGAAATATACCTAGTTGGATGAATCTTATTGTGGCTAGCTGGTCTAGTGGCTAACGCGACGGGCTGGAGTTTTGAGACTCTATGACCGCGGGTTCAATCCCTGCTGGGGGTATGGGATGGTTCACTATTCATCAGTTCTCACCAAATTAATAAAGAAAGCCAAACAACTGTACTACTCCAGCAGATTCACTGACACAAGAGGAGATATAAAAAAAGACCTGGAAAACACTTTCCCAGATTCTGGGGACCCACAAACTGAAAAAAAACAAGAATATTCTCCTAAACCTAATGAAACACCACTGCATCCCATTGATACAGCTAACAAGATAGATGACTTCTTCTCAAACATAGGATCTAATCTTGCCAGTAAAATCCCACGTACCAATGCCCGTGCCGGGGACTACCTAGATGGGAATTTCCCAAATTCCTTCTATCTTGTACCAACTGAGCCCACAGAAGTCACCACAATCATAAAGTCACTTAAAAATAACTCGGGGAATCTGTCTCCCGTCCCACCATTATTGTACAAGCGAGTGGCCCATGTCCTTTCACATGCTATTACATTACTTTTTAACAAGTCACTAGAAACTAGTACTTTCCCGACACTACTCAAGACAGCAAGGGTTACACCAATACATAAAGGTGGTGACCCTACAGATGTAAACAACTATAGGCCAATATCAAACTTACCATTGCTATCCAAAATCTTCGAGAAACTCGTGCACAGGAGACTATATTCATTTATAACTGCACAAAACATACTCAACCCCTGCCAATTTGGATTCAGGAAAAATAAAAGCACTAATGATGCAATTATAAAAATGCTAGACCTGCTTTACACAGCATTGGAAAATAAGGAATATCCGCTAAGAATTTTTGACCTACGAAAAGCGTTTGACACAGTTGACCACGGCATCCTACTCCACAAACTTGACCACTATGGTATAAGAGGCCATGCGCTTGCATATTTCAAATCTTACCTTTCTAAGAGGTATCAGTATGTCACCATTAAAGACACAGCCTCATCAATACGGCCACTTGATACTGGAGTTCCGCAGGGAAGTGTCCTTGGACCCCTGCTCTTCCTCCTTTGCATCAATGATCTTCCAAACATATCCCAACACCTGAAACCCATTCTCTTTGCTGACGACACGACTTATGTCATCTCCCACCCTAATCTTGCCACCCTCAACACCATTGTTAACGAGGAGCTGCACAAAATGTCGACTTGGATGACAGCCAATAAACTTACACTTAACACTGACAAAACCTACTATATTATGTTTGGTAGCAGAGCAGGTGTTGCGCAACTTAACATTAAGATCTACAACACTCTAATTGCCACACATAATGAGGGCAAATTCCTTGGCCTATACCTCGACAATAACCTAAATTTCAGCACCCATATCCAACACATAACAAAAGAAGTATCCAAAACGGTGGGGATCCTCTCCAAGATACGATAGTATGTGCCGCAAACTGCCCTTCTCATGCTATACCACTCACTTATATATCCATACCTCACCTATGCTATCTGTGCTTGGGGTTCAACTGCGGCAACACACCTAAAGCCAATAATAACCCAACAAAAATCCGCAGTAAGAATAATCACTAAATCCCATCCCTGGCAACACCCCCCCCCCCACTCTTCATAGATCTAAACTTACTCCCTGTTCAGAACATCCACTCTTACTACTGTGCAATCTATATCTACAGGACCTTAAATTCCAATATTAACCTTGACCTAAAGCGCTTTCTTGATAGTTGTGACAGGATCCACAGGCATAACACCAGACACAAACATCTCTATGACATTCCCAGTGTCCGACTAAACCTTTACAAAAATTCAATGTATTTCAAAGGACCTAAAATCTGGAACACTCTACCTGAAAACACTAGAACTGCAGACACACTCATCACTTTAAAAACTACAGTTAGAAAACATCTTATCTCCCTGATACACCCCGACAACTAACTACATGATAACCACCTGGTGGTTCACAATTACACTCATTCACCCACTGACTATAAACACAGAAATACTAATCTTAATCTTAAAATAATGAATCATAACTAGTCATATTTGCCTATGATACTCCAATATAGACACTATGTATTGTGCCAAAACAAAAGCATTCACACTGCGAAACTCACAAATTATAATGTAGTTACCTAGACTTAATACCATAATCTGCAAGGATTTAGTGTTATGAATTAATCTAAGTCTGCCCGAAATGCATAGCCATGCTAGGTGTCCTAGTGGCCCACTCTGTAATTAGTACTTTATAACATGTAAACTACACAATATCCAAATCCTGTAAACCCCACATTGTAACCCTTATGGAGAATAAACTTGATAGATAAGGATGTCAGCCACAGCACCATGTCTTCCTT